GGCGCCTTGGAATATATTTACATTTTAAAAAAAAAAACGGCGCATGCGTATTTTGGGCGCCCGTATTTTTTCTAAGTCTTTTGGCGGGAAAATTAAACATCTTCAAACAGATGTTAACAAGAAGTAATAATTAAAAATGGAAAAACAAAACGGCGCATGCGTATTTTGAGCGCCCGTATTTTTCTAAGTCTTTTGGCGGGAAAAATAAAAATTTTTAAACAGATGTTGCCATGTAAATAATTTCAGAAAAAAATTGTCAGCAAAATAAAGTTCAACAAATTGTTTCCTCGAAAACGTTGCTATTGAATTTTACTAAATCCGTGAAGTAGATGCTTGACAATTAGACACTATTCCAATGGTTTCTTCTTGGCAACTAGATTCTGACTATTAAATTTTGCTTCACGGGTTTTGTGAAATCACTAACTTGACTTCCAGCTTGAAAAATCTTGTTGCAAAAAATCTAATCGCGATAAATCTGAAGTGTTCTAGCTTACTTTTAAGATACGATCCAAAATGAACTTGTTTGGTTTCCTTTGCTTCTTTCTTCCTGTTGGTGTAAACTTGAGATTGCAACACGTTCAACTTCAAAGCAGGCGTCCTGAAAGAAATAGAAATAAAAAGTCAAATTAACAATGGTCATATTTAAACCTAACAAGCAAAATATATACTAAAGATTCTCTGAGTTATATTCAATTCTCTTCTTCTTCTGCGTTTCTCGTTGATTTTCATTGCTCGGCTCTTCAGCACGGTCGTCAGGTTATACCATCATCATTAATATAGACGCAGATGAAATTGTATTTTTCACGTAACATTTCATATCGGTAAAAACTTTAAACCCGGGCGAGCGGTATAAAATGCTGCCTTCTTAAACAAGAGACTACATTCAGTTGCAAATCGACAGCAATACGACACGAAAATTCATGATATATAAATAAATAGCATCAAATGAATGTAGAATTCTTATAACTTAAGTACTGCCTAGTGCCTTTTTACTTTGCGAGGTTTAAACGCTGTCCGCAGCGAAAAGCTTGCAAAACAGCCCGCTCAAAATTTCACGGGGAAAATGTCGCGACAAAACACCGAGGTAATATTTACATTTTCTTCACGAATGAATATACGCGCGCTTAATTTTCGCGAATCTTTCAAGACTGGCGAAACGACGAAAATAAAAGGCACTAGGGTTAGCTTCAAACTTTTGCAGTATTACTAGACTCAATTTATTTGCCGCTTAGTCTATCACCAAACTAGTAGTATTTACACAAGCGAATAACAAATATAAATTTGCAATTCCAAATATTGTTCAAAATGTTGTCAAAATGTTGTCAGAATGCAATGTTTATGCAAAGAGCGGAACCCGTGTTCACTGTGATATCTCCGCGTCATGCTTTTACAAAACGTCAAATGAAGTTTTTGCATTTGACAAAACCCGGGAAATATGTGCAAGACAATTGATTAATATTTTGCACTAATTTCATGAATTTCTTTTGTTCAATTTCTGATTTGACAACAAGATCCCTGACTATATAATTTTGTTTCAAAAGTTTTGTGAAAATCGCTATACGATAAGGTATGTTCATGAAAAAAATCAGTGGGATGTCCCATTCCTAAGCATTAGCTCCATGGCAACGTTTTTGTTGAAATAGCTGTACAGTGAAAGCGAACACTTCATCATTCGTTTGAATTTTCTGAGGCCTGTTGTGTGCGCCATTATTGCTTGTACCAGCAAGTTATCAATAATCACTCCAACCCAAAACAAAGAACAGCAACTCACCTCATATGATATAGTCCTTGAGCACTGTGATTTGCTTCTCCACATCAATCTGCCTTTTATTGCTGCTTACATCTGTTTTGTACCTAGCAAGAAACAGGAAACGTTTGGATCATAATGGCAGTCTTTTAGTTCTGTAGTTTTACGAACATTTAAATAAAGTCACATCCTTGTGCCACTGGACTCCAGGGCACGGTTTTTCGAAAGCCGATTAAAGCTAATCCAGGATTAAAAGTTAATCGAGGTTTGAAATTTCTCTTGTATAAAATTGTTTTTCACTGCTAATGTTTTGTGGAGTTTGAGATTACTCAAAGTCAAAATTGAATGACAAAAAATATAAACAAACAACCTCACTGAAATGTCACAAAACTGAAATAGATATTCACGTTAATCCTGGTTTAGCTTAATCGTCCTTTGAACAACTGGGCCCAGATCAAGTGGTCCGGGTCATTATCTTGGACAAGGCACTACTCTCTCAATGTCTTACTCGTGGTTGCCACAGATGTCAGTTTCAAAATTCCGTGAGATAAAAGTAAACTTCCCTGACCAAATGAATCAGAATGCAAAATGTCAGACCTCCCCTTGCAGCAGCTGTCCTTTCCACCCATTTATTTTAGACTGATAAGTTTTCAACGAATCACAAGTTCCTTGACAGTGACAGTCCGCCTTCTTCATTAACCAAAACATCGCTGAGATCACAGTGACCTGAAATGTTTCTTCCACCCTTCAATAGTATTGAATCAGTGGTGTTATAATTTCAATTTTCCCTGACGTTTCTTCAAAATGGCAATTTTCCCTGACTCAAAATAAAATTCCGACTTTTCCCTGACCTTGAAGAACCTGACCATCTGACCTGTGCCAGCCATGTTGCTTACATCTGTTTTGTACCTGTTATAATAAGAAACATGAAATGTTTTGATCAATATGGCAGCCTTGTAAAAATAAAATCATAGCCCTGTGTCACTGAGGTTTAACCCTACTGAGTACATGGAAAGCTTCTATAATAACACATTTGTAAAAAATCAAGAGGAAAAGTTGCATTGTAGTGTTTTATTTTTACTGAAAGAGTACCCTACCCTACTCAATCTCATAATAAATTTTTTCCGCATGAAAAGTCCCTTATTTATGTACTGCGTGAGACATGGTGTCCTAATGGTTAGCGCGTTGGACTCTGGATCAAGTAGTCCGGGAGAGCACTGGCCGTCTCACAGTGCCTCTTTCCTACCAGGAGTATAAATAACGACGAACTGTTAGGGCACCTGAGAAAATGCTGGGGGTAACCTGTGATGGACTATTATCCCATCCAGGGCGGAAGCAATACTCCTAGTGTCTTCATGCTATGGAAACAGGAGTTAAGCGCCGGCCTGTTGAGCAACTCTAGACTCAATACGTCTTACTACTTACATCAAGTCAGTCGAAGGAACAACTGCCAGTTTTGACAAATCTTCTTGAGGCACTCAAAGAGTTTCCGAATAATTTTATCCAATCAAAAACTAGCATGAACACTCACGAGTACTCCGAAAACAATCGTGCCAGTAAATACGTCGTGTTGCATAGCAACTTCAGGGAAGAAAACCGTGGGCTCAGTCCCGTCTCGGAGGCGAGATTTTGTCTTCAACTGGTACTTTTTCCCCGACTGGTAATCAATGAACAATACATCTAGCAACTCACCTCAAATGGAGTCCATTTGGAATCATGTTCCTAAGTACATCTGCAATTCTTTTTGGAGCATACTAGCTTTTATTGCTGCTTACATCTGTTTTGTACCTAGCAAGAAACAGGAAACGTTTTTGATCAATATGGCAGCTTTAGTCTAAAGCGTTACAAACATGATTGTAAAAATAAAATTGTGCCATTGAGGCACCCTACTGGGAGACCTTCTATGAAAACAAATCCATAATAAATGAAGAGAGAAAGTTGCATTGTAGTGCTTTTTTACTAAAAGAGTACCCTACCCTACCTAACCCAATTTCATAATAATTTTTTCCCCCAAAAAAGTCGCTTATTAAGCTGGAAGACGTGGTGGCCTAATGACTAACAAGTTGGACTCAAGATCAAGCAGTCCGGTTCAGGGGGTCATGGTCTTCTTGAGCAAGACACTTAACTTGCACAGTGCCTCTCTCCAACCAGGAGTATAAATGGGTATTGGAAAACTGTTAGAGTGCCTGACAAAATGCTGGGGGTAACCTGCAATGGACTAGCATCCCAGCCAGGGGGAGCAGCAATACTCCTAGCACCAGTCCTCAAAAGGCTTTGCTTACCACTTACATCAAGTAATGATCAATCATCAGCACCTCACCTCAAATGGAATCCATTATCTCATTGTGATGTTCTCTCCACATCAATCTCAGAGCATACTAGCTTTTATTGCTGCTTACATCTGTTTTGTACCTAGCAAGAAACAGGAAACGTTTTTGATCAATATGCACAGCCTTAGTCTGCATAGTTTTATGACCCACATTGTAAGAATAAATTATAACCTTGTTTCATTGAGGTGGACCCAAAACGTTTCAACCCTACTGGGAGAGCTTCTACAGTGTATAATGACAAATTTGTAAAAACTGAAGAAGAAAACTTGCATTGTACTGTGCTTTTTTTTACTTATACATATAGAGTACCCTACCCTACACTTTCAAATGACTAAAACAATCCAATTTAATAATTTGTTTTCTTTCTTCTACATTAATGTCACTGTTCCGCATTGAATTATGAAGTAACTGAAACTTATTATGCATTGTATAAAATAATGTGTAGACAAAGGAAACAAAACATAGCCACATGTTTGGCGTGATGGGGGACTCATCCCCTGCGGTGGTATGACAAGCGACTTCCAGTTGCATAACCCTACAAGCCTCATTTATATTCCACAACTGGAAATTACTTTTCATGCCAAGTAAGGGATAGAAAGAAGGACTCGCCCACTCAAGTCTCCAACCTAACCAACTGCAGAGAATGTGTCGTTACAGCAATATGTTGAATATTCTATCCATTAAGCAATGCAGTGGAGGAACGGTAAAAAAAGGTAAAGTCTTCACGAGCCTAGTGTCCCACAACTGCCGGAGCTTATCCCAGTTTCTGCAGCATTAAGCGACTAGGAGTATTGCTACTCCCCTGGATGGGAATGCTAGTCCATCGCATGTTACCCCCAGCATTTTGTTGCCGGTACCCATTTATACTCCTGGGTGGAGAGAAGCACTGAGAGTAAAGTATCTTGCCCAAGAACACAACACAATGACCCTGGCCAGGGCTCGAACCCGGACCGCTCGATCCAGAGTCCAGCGCGCTAACCATTAGGACACCACGTCTCCCACTGAGAACGGTAAAACAAACTTTAAAGGCTGTAAGTGGTAAATACACTCACCTGCTGGACTGACTTTTTTCCTCAGAAGATCTGACAGTGTTTAGGGTGATATAGCCCTCAAATGCTGCAAGGTGCAGGACTGTACTTGAGTAATGTCAATGGTTCACTTGAACAGTTTATGGTTTCCATGTATATGGTGTGAGGTGGACTGCATCAAGACCTTTTGCCTTCTCGGTCTGAAATGTGACCTTTGCAGACATGGCGGCAATAACTGGAAACTCTAAGTACAGTTGTATGCTGTCACTGGATATGCCTATAAGAAAATATAAATGTTTAATTGCCATGTTTACGTAGACAATACTAATTTATTGCTACCGTCAGGTTCTTTGACCAGTCCATGTTAGTTTCACTCTAAAATAATGATAAAGTACTCCTCAGTTACGTACAAATGTACCACAGAAAAAAATGAAGATTAAACGCTCTCATCCTCATTATCTAAAACAGTTACTGGTAACAAGAACTTAATAATATATGAAAAAATGAGAGAAAGACACCAATGAGAAAATAAATATCAATCATCATGGATGATTGGGATTTTGTCTGCAGTGTCTGGAATTGATCTTCATTATGTTAGTACATAAGCCTGGTTTCCATATGGTCGCAATGATCGCAGTCGCAAGAGTGGTTTCCATATGATCGCAACGATCGCAAGAGTGGTTTCCATATGATCGCAACGATCGCAAGAGTGGTTTCCATATGATTGCAGCGATCGTTGCGATCATATGGAAACCAGGCTATAGTGTTCTATTAAATAACCCTTTCATTATGTCAACATTTTTGTTCGGCACTTTTCCCTCAGTATATACTCTAGCTTAAGTAGTATCTTCGTATTGGAATTAGATTAGACTTAAGTAATGGGGAATTTATCTTCTGGAATTATGTAAGTACAGTGTTCAGGAACTAAGAAAAACTAAGAAAAAAAAGCAAACTAATTCCTATTTTGTGCACGGTATAAAATTATGTGATCATTTCCTGGTTCTACCCCACACAAAATTTCCGCCATTATTGGATTTCATTTGCTCTGGCTTTCCTCTTCTGGTGATGAAACAATGCTGTTTTATGAAGGAGTCTGTGCCCAGGCTGTGGACTACCTCAATGTGGAGTGAACAACAAGCCATACCTCTTAGCATCACTTCTCTCATGGCAAACCAAAAGGGCCCGAAACAATCTACACAACATAGGTAAGGGGGGGCTTGTCTGGAGTGATTCTATCTTTTGGCAGGTTCGCCCTCTTTTGCTTGCAACAGGTGCTTGTCTCCTTCTGCAGTCGAAACAAATGTTGAGGGACCATCTCACTGCAGCTCTTGCCCAATGATCCAATATATTTCTCTGATCACGGACAGTACATGCTTTGAGCCAGAGTGCCCAGAAGTGTGATGGTGGAAAACATGGTGTGAAGTTGGCAGAGTTATAGGATGTTTTGCATCCAGTTGAAGAAGCACATTTTTGAGCTATCCTCCCACACATAGTAGGTCATCTATCAACTGTGGGTTGAGCTTGGAGATGCTACTGGACTTCTAAACTTGACCTTTTCTTGCTCTAGCAATGCATTCTCTTCCAACCTCAGCACTTGCTCTTTTTAGAATGGCAATCTCTTCTTCAAAGCTCTCTTTCTACATATGCCTTGGGATCTCTCTTCTGGCCTTTTCCATCTCCTCAACTGTGTAGGGTCTATCTTTGCTCTCTTATTGGGGGACGTGGATCCTGACTCGCGACGTCCGACTGTCACTCGTAGGTTTGCTCGATAACGCAGCATCCATTGCCACGGTATCATTGGGAGAAGTATTTGAATAATTTGTTGATTCTCCTTGCTCCTGCTTCAGCGTTTGTAGAAAACACTTGTGGTTCTCTCACTCCTAGGGCTTGCTCGATAGGTAATTGATCGAGAAGATTTTTGATGGATCCTGCTCTTTCTGACATTGAGATAGAATGATGACATTTTTGCGATCCATTTTATCAAGAGGAATCCTCCTTTAGAGAGCAGTTGGTGGAGCCCGTTCACCAGCAGAATGGCCTTGTCATCGGTTGAGACTGACTTTAGGCAGTCATCAACTTAGAAGTTTGTGTTTGATGCTGTTAACTGCCTCCTTGCTAAATTCTTGCTGATTGTCATCTGCGGTTCACAGTAGACCAAAGTTAGCCACAGCTTGGTCACGATGTGGTGCCGAAGAGAGATGCACCATCGTCTGATATTCTTCTGGCTCAGTGTTCAGTCGTTATCCGGCCACCAGAGAAAACTATAGGGCATCACCGTCATTAGATGAGGTGTACTTGGTGAAACATCGACTCTACATCGGCCATGAGAGCAACAGGCTCCTGTCGAAAGCAAGTCAAGACACCAACCAAGTTGTTCATTAAGTCAGGTCCCTGAAGAAGTTGGTCGTTGAGTGATTATCCCTGATATTTTGCTGGACAATCAAACATGACACGGACCAGCACAGGATCATGAGGCTGATACCACACTGCACCGACAGGATGGTTCAGCCAGTCCCATGGCACCTTGTGGGCATGGCTGTCGTCCATGAACGAATTGTCAGTTGTTCAGAAGGTACGGTGGAGTGTTCTTCCAAGGCTATTTTGTAATGACCTTCCTTCAGGGTGACGGACTGCTCCATGTTGCTCATTGCGTGCAAGTCTCCTTTGACATTCCTGGGTTTTTATCATAAGCTGAGTCATTAAACTCCATTAAGTTGCAGAACTTTGCAAATTGTTGGCTTAGTTCGTTGTCAGCCCTGATGTAGTTTGTAGTGTGAGAAGATCTTTCTTTCTGTTCTTAAGGACCATTGATTGTCCACCTAAAAATGATTCGCACTGCATATCGACCTTGATCTTTGCACTCTCTTATTTCTTTGTGTTCTAGAGCTTTCAGAACGTCATTTCCGATCAGCAGGCCAATACAAGCATTGATCTTAAGTAGCTGGATATCTTTGAGGTATATATATACTATATGAGATATACTTGAGATATATATATGAGATATACTTGCTTACATCCTCATGTTGTGAGATGCTGTCTTTACTGGTTGTTTTGGGATTGAGAAGATAGTGGGGAGCTCAAATTGTGCTCGTCCAAGTAGAAAACGTCCAGCTTGAGGACCCTGCATTCGGTCATGCTGTTCTGCTTCCCCTAGGGTTGTCAACAAAAGGGCGGTTTTCTCACTTTTGACGGCTAACATTTCCATAAGTTGATGACTGCAGAACGACATGTTTGATCCCTCATCTAAGAAGGCAACACTGCGGTGTCTGAACCTCTGGCCTTAACTTTACAGGGATGATGGGAAGACCAATCATTGAGAAGCTGGCCCCAGTTAACCACGGGACTATTGCTTTTGGCATAGCCATTTTGTGCTTAGCTGCTCTCTTTCCGTGGCTTTCACTGTTTTGGTTTTCGCCTTTGGATGTAGGAATGTTGAGTGCTTGGTACATGTATGGCAAGTAGGGATCTTGTAGTAGCTGTTCGTTGCACAGGACCAGACCGTGTGACCAGACAGAAAGCAATTTTCACAGAGAATTTTCTTTGCACAAAGGCAAGTCTCTGTTCCATGGACTGTTTCTGAAACTCACAACAGGGAGTCAACCAGTGGCACTTGGAGGTAACCTTTCCCAGATCAGCTACAGCTGCAGCAGAATCGTTCTTGCTCTTGCCAACACCATTGTCGAATTCATCACACCAAGTCGCAAAGCTATCGGCCTTTCAGTTCTTAAAGCTCTGGCTTTCGACTCCATGTATCTTGTGATATCCTCGAATGTGATTTCTCTTTGCTTGTTATTAGTTATGACATCAGCAACATTGCACCATCTTTGTCTTAATTGAAAAGGAAGCCTCTCTACCACCCTCTGTAAACTGTCCGGATTTTAGATCTTACTGAGGCAACCAATCTCTTTCAAGGTGTTTTTGCAGCTCTGAGCAGGACAGAGAACTTCTGGAGTGCTTGGCCGTCTTCATACCTTATCGGGGGTCCATTTGTAACTCAATCAACATAAGCGGTGTCAACTTTATAACTCTGGCCATATCTTTATTTCAATAGCTTCCACGCTTCCAAATAACCTTCTTCTGGATTCATTGACAAACTGCTTTGCATGAGGTCTTGAACATAGCCAGAAGTGTACAGTACTAAGTAGTATAGTCTTGCGCTGCTGTTTTTCGTCATTGCTTCGATCAGATTTTCAAAGCATCAGATAAAATTGCAGTAATTTACGGGATCTCGACTCTGTCAAACGTCTGCACCTTAGCCAGTGTCAGAGACAGTTACTCATGTTGTCCTAGTAGCTGTCGCAACTGTTGATCGCAGTATTGCTGCATGTATATAAGCTGTTCATTGTGTTGTTGCCGCTGCCGCTGTATATATGTCATATACGGTATGAAGTTTTCTCCAACTGCTGAATTACTCGGGATGGACTTCGTTCTTGTTTGGTTTCATTACGATCTAAATGGCGTTTGTGAGCTTTGGCAAATTTGTGGGTGACCACGCAGCTGGTTGAGGTGAATGGGGTGTTATGCTTGCTATCGGGTTGAGTGGCTACCTGCATTGTTTGATGAACTCCTCCTGATACATTCAGCTTAGCCTGCGCAGCGGCGGTCTTGTTGTTTGCGAAGGCAAAATTCGTAAGCGGCAAAGCCGCTAAAGCGAACGGCGGAGGGAGCCGCGAGAGACTGGGGCGGAGGGTCTGAAAGACCGCCTGCTCTATTTCCTGGGGTTTTTAATAGTCCTTGCACCATTGCACGGGAATTTCGGATTGGCTGAGAGCGGTGACACGTCAATCAAATGTTAGTTGATCCCTCTGATCTCTCCCAAGGGAAAACTTGAGAACTCAGTGAATTTTCATGTCAACAATGCAAAATGGCGAATGTTCAGGAAAACATCGATAAAGCTTTAAAAACACTCAATACCAACAGGGAAACTCGAAAAATTATTTTAAAGGAAGAGCAAGAGACGGCTGTAAA